TTAACTTCACAATCCCTAGGGGCAAGCAGGACAAGGAAATACCACCTGCTTCCTGCTCCAGATCCCATGACCCTGTGGTTAGCACAAAGGGCTATTCTTTCTGTAAGATTTCCTGTTTGCCCAGGGGCTAGACCTGCCAAAAGTCACGTATATAGTCTAGTGGGATTTTTCCACCGAGGCAAAGGCTAAGGTTGAGGGCATCCATCTTGTGCAGGCCCAAGCAGTCTCTCACATATATATATATATATATTATTCCCAGCTGGAAGGGCACGGCAGAGGGGCCGGTGGAGGAAAGCAGCAGACGTCACCTGCCAGGAAACAGGGAACAAATGGGGCAGGCAGGAAGGAGATGCCTCCCAGGTCTCACCCTAGGGACCCTCTTCTACATCCTACAACAGAGTCCACTATGGCTCCCCTGTGATCCTTCCAACAGCCCGACCTCTGCACACATGCGCTTTTGGGGCACGTTCTAGACCTAGACCACAAAGGCCTGACTGTGAAATGAAATTTCAGCTATAAGTATCAGGCACTGTGCTGGGAATACTGTTGTCAATACAGCAAACAAGTTTCTAATTGTATATGGAGTTTAAAAGTTACAGGTAAGATCAACATAAATTACATATGTTTACAAGTGACGAATGAATTGATACCTGTCAGTATTGCCTATGCATGTAATCATATTTCCATTTTCACCTCGCATAATATTAACAAAATAATTCAATATTTTATTTGACTTTGACTTTTTACTGCAAATATTTTGTGTTTGTAATTTACCATAGTTTCCTTAGTCTAAAATGTTTCATATAGGATTCAGTAGTTTCTTTTTGCCAAAATGTATTATATTCTCATGTATCAAATGTCAGAAAAATGAAAAAGGAGTGATGTTTGTGTAAACTCTGCTTATTGGGAATGAATGCATGTGTAGAGGAGGAGTGGAGACTCAGCGAAGACATGCCACAGACCTGTGCTTCTTAGCGGCGACTGCGTATACCATCACCTGGGCAGTCAGGCTCGCCGGCACAAGCCTATAACCCCAGCTACTCGGGAAGCTGAGGCAGGAGGATCACAAGTTCAAGCTTCCCTGGGCAACCTAGCAGGATTTTGTCTCAAAATAAAATTAAAAGGACTGAAGATGTAGCCTGAACACTTGCTTAGCACACGTGAAGCCCTAAATTCAATCCCCAGCACCACACACACACACACACACACACACACACACACACACACACACACACGAATCACCTGTAGAGTCAACACACACACACACACACACACACACACACACACACACACACACACACACACACACACGAATCACCTGGAGAGCCTTTAGAGAACTATTTGTTCAGGTCTCAACGCAGAGATTCTGATTCATTTGCTCTGGGTTGGTCCTACTTACTGTGTATTAGTGCTCAGATGATCCTAATATTCAATCAGGGCTGAAATTGCCTGAAATGGGCTATCAAAGACCAGAGAATAGAGTCTGGGCCCAATCGTGGATATAGTAGGCAATCAGTTGAAATTCAGTTCATTAAAAAAACATTACTATAGAGATAAAAACTATTTCTCACTACTAGAGAGATAAATTCTATACCTTAAGATCTAAGGAAGCTGGACACATAGGGAATAAACAGCAACACGCTGAAATTTCATTTCACAATCAGGCCTTTGTGGTCTAGGTCTAGAACGTGCCCCAAAAGCGCATTGTGCAGAGGTCGGGCTGTTGGAAGGATCACAGGGGAGCCATAGCGGACTCTGTTGTAGGATGCAGAAGAGGATCCCTAGGGTGAGACCTGGGAGGCATCTTCTTCCCGCCTGCCCCATTTGCTCCCTGTTTCCTGGCAGGTGACGTCTGCGGCTTTCCTCCACCAGCCCCTCTGCCGTGCCCTTCCTGCTGGGATCCCACAGACTGAAACACAAGTCAGGTCTCTCCTCCTCTAAGCTGCAGATGGAGAGTGTTGTGTCTCCGCAAGGATGAAAAAGTGACTAAGACAGACAGAATGATGGAGAACCCTTTAGGGTTTTCAATGATGCAAACAGCCCTCTGGCACGTGTGCCCTAGGTTCACCACCACCGGCCTAAGGAGAAAGGAAGGGTGAGTTTGGTTTCCAAAGCCCGGGTGGGAATGTGGCAGAGCAAACATCAGAGCCTTATAGAACAGGGGCCTCTAAGATCCCCTTCTCCGCATCCCATCATCCTCACCTTGTGTTCCGGAACTTCTGTTTCCTGTGAGAGTACCCTAGGAAAAAGGGGAAAGGAAGTTAATCAAAGCACTTTTACAAAGTAAACAAGAAATAAAATAGGCTCACTAGAAGCAAGTTTTTTTTAGAAAAGTGCAGTCCCAAAATGAATGAAAGCATGCTCTCAATGTACACCTTAGTTACTATGTATACTCTACTAGAAAGGAAGAAGATGAGTTGTTCTTACTTCACAAATATCATGGGGCACCTTCCATGTGTCTGACAGCTTGCTGCCCGGGGACATAAAGGTGAATTATCAGGTATACCTTGATGTATCTTACATTTTACTGCGGGAGATTTTTAAAAAGAACAGAAAAAAGAGCTCGCAAGATGGTGCATGCTTGTTATCCAAGCACTCGAGAGGCTAAGAGGATGGAGAGTTTGAGTCCAATATGTGCAATTCAGCAAGGCCTTATCTCAAATTAAAATAAATCTCCAGTATGCCAATAAATAAATAAAAGAAATAAAGGTGATGGACAGGGAGTAGGTGAGTAGGCAAATGAAATAATTTCAAATTGTGGTGTGCTATATAAGGAACCAGTTCCATAATGAAACAGATAATACAGAAGGTGGCCAGGTAACTACTCAGAGATGACCTTTAAGCTCCTTTCCAAGTCAGCTATGTCCAGAGCTAGGGGCAGCAGGTCAAGAAGAGAGAAACCCTACCAAAGATCTTGAAAATTGCCTGAAACAAACAGGCAAAATACAAACAGGCTACAATAAGATAGTGGCTCCAGTCTAAGAGGTAAGCTGGGACAACATCCTACATCAGGGGCCTAGTGAACCTTTTAGAGCTTTGAATCAAAACAAACAGCCCACCGCGGCACGTGTCCTAGAACACTGAGCAGTACCAGTCCATGGCCTGTTAGGAACTGGGCCACAAAACAGGAACTGAGCAGCATGCTGGAAGTGAAGCCTCATCTTTAGCCACAGCTGTCCCCATCACCCAATCACTACCTGAGGCTTGCCTCTTGTCAGGTCAGTAACGGTGTTAGATTCTCACAGCAGAAACCCTACTGAGAGCTGCACAAGGGAGGGACGCAGGTTGCAGTTCCTTGGGAGAATCTAATGCCTGATGATGTGAGGTGGAGCTGAGGCAATGAGGTAGCAGTGGGAAGCAGTTGCAAATACAGATTAACTTCAGCAGACAAGTTTGACTGCAAAGAGACCACAAGAAATCAGTTGCTTATAGATTCACATCACAACTCTGTAAGTACGTGTCCTTAACTCACATCTGTTTATGCAACTGTGAGGAGATGCACTCAGAGCACACAGTTCTTCTCTTATGCACAGGAGAAAGGTGGCTTTCCAAAGGTAGATCAGTGGCCAGACTTTCTGAATTACAAAATTTGCTCCAAAGATTTCTTTTAAAAATCAGCATGAGAGCCAGGGATTTAGCTCAGTGGTACAACCACCTGCCTCACAAGCCCAAGGTCCTGAGTTAGATCCCAAGTACAAAAAAAAAAATTTTTTTTCATTAAAAGAAATCAGCACTGTTCACTGCACATTTCAATAAACTGGAACTACAAGGTCAACCTGTGGATCTTGGGGATTCTGACATGTTTCAAACATTAGCAGAGGTTTTGAAAGAGACTAAGCCAGGAGCTTCTTTCCGTCAAGTGGCGCATGATAACCTATCGTAACATTCAAAAGAGTTGAAGTATTGCTTGCCAACCACAAAACAACCCAAAATTGAGAAGGGATGTATCTGTGACCCATGTGCAAAGTAGCCAGGTCAGTGGACTATGTCTATGCTAGAAGAGCACAAAATGCTTGAAATTGCAAATGACAGCGGCCTTAAAAATAAGTTTGAGATAACTTTAAATCTTCACACATTCTGGATTAAATTCAAACTGGAATATTTTGAGATTGCCACAAAAGCACTGACAAGCCTGCTCACACTGCTAACTCCCTATCTCTGTAAGGTAGGGTTTCCTGTAGTGACAGCACCCAAAGTGAGACGGCAGAGCAGACTGCAGAAGAGGAACACACAGGCGTCACACTTCCCATTTCCTCCTCGTGGGACTGCCCAGATGCAGAGAAACAAGCTTCGGGTTCCTGCTGATTTTGTACTACAGTGAGTTGTACAATCACCTCACAATATATTATGATATATAATAATAGAACCAAATCATTGAAAAATTATTGAATCATCCCAAATGATGACAGGTGATGTCCCCGAGCCATGGAAATTTGTCCTCCATGAAACTGGTTCCTGGTGCCAAAAACGTTGGGGTCATTGTCCTGTAGGACCTTCTCAGCCATAATTGAGAGTTTGGATTTCATTCTAAGACCCGAAAGAAATGGAAAGACAGAAATATGATCTGATTTATGTTTTAATTTCACTTCAGCTGCTAAGTGGAGTGCAGATTAAAAACAGTAGTAAAGAAATGAGACAAAGATGATGGTGCCTTGGAGAGAGATGTGGAATAATGAAAGGATTTTAGATTCATTGTATTTGTTCTGAGACAGAGTCTGGAAATATAGTTCATGCTGGCCTACAGCCCAGGCTGAGCTCACACTTGTGGTGATCCTCCTGTCTCAGCCTCCTGAATGCTGGGATTACAGGCATGGACCACCAAACCCAGCTAGATTTTATACGTTCTAGAGAAAGATTGCAGGAATTAAAGTCAGACTGTGAATTAAGGGGAAGGAAAGAGAAGATTCAAGGATGACTTCTGCAATTCTTGCTTACGCAATCAGAGAGTTAGTGGTTAAATCATGGAGAGGATCAGAGAGGGAAGGGGGTTGTAGGAAGGAGGAACACATTCTGGACATGATAAATGTGTTAGACATCAAAGCAGGGTTATCACCTGGAAAGTTAGACAAGCAGCACCAATACTTCAAGTGCTGGACAAATAAATTAAAGATTGCATTGAAGTCCATGAAAGTGTATGTCATAATTTAGAGGATTAAGAGACCGGAAAAGGCCCAGTCCTAAGGAATCTCAACACCTAAAGGTCAGGCAGAAGAGAAGGAAACAGCTAAGTAACTGAAAAGGAATCACCAGTCAAGAAGGACAATGGTGGGCTGAGGATTTAGTTCAGGGGTTCTGCTGCCTGCCTCGAAAATACAAGGACCTGAGTTAGACCCCTGGTACCAAAAAAACAAATAATTAATTAAAAGAAGAACAGTGGTGTTTAGAAGCCAAAAGAAAGGAGACTTTCTAGGATGAGGGAGTAAGGACTCAAAGTGGGAGAACACTGCAGAGACAGCGCTACAGTGAGGACAGAGACAGTGAGAGTCAGCAAAATGCAGGGCAGAGGGGAGCTGTTTCAAGAATAGAAGCAAGATGAAGTGGGTCAGACAATTCCCCGAGGACAGTGGCTGTGAAGGAGAGTGAGAACTGAGCTAGAGAGGAAAGCATGGATTAATGAAAATAGAAAAACTATAAAAGGAGAGATGGATGATCCAGATGAGAGGAATTAAAGGAGAAATGAACTCTGGGCAAAGCCAAGAGGCTCTTGCTGTGCTATCAGTCGGGAGAGGGACAGAGCAGGTTTGAGCAGCGATGAGGCCTGGATGTCAGTGACTATGGCACAGAATTGTTCCCAATATTGAGCCAGTTTGCAGCTGTGAGGTTGTGGCTTACAATCCTACCACCCTGCTTGTTAGATTTTTTCAGCAATTTTAGGGAAAAATTACAAATCAAACAGGACTTTCTTATTTGTTCTTCTGATTAGCCATGGGTGGGAATTACATACAGTCGGCCATTTGTATCCAGTATCATGGGTTCCAGAACCTCTTATGGATTCCACAGCCCTTGAGTTCCAGTTCCTCATGACAAATGCCGTTTGCACATAACCTAAGTAAATGCGACCGTGTACTTTAGATGACCTCTAAATTATTTGCAATACCTAATAGCATGGAAATATTATGTATAAATATTATCATAGTGTACTGAGGGAATAATAAGGAAAAAGTCTGCACAATTTTACCTGCAAGTACTTTTGATCTGAGGATGTTTGAATCCAAGGATGCAGAACCCATGGATGCAGAAGATTCATGTATGTGTACACGAACAAAATGTCAGATTTTCCCCATTCCTGATTACCCTTTACATAAACTACAATAGGCCCTAACTTCCTGATTCTTTTTTGTTGTTGTTGCTGCTGCTGCTGTTTTTTGGTACCAAGTATTGAACTCAGGACCTTGAGCTTGTGAGGCAGGTGGCACACCACTGAGCTAAATCCCTGGCTCCGAATAGGCCCCAACTTTCAATTCAAAAAAGTAGTCAGTTTTATCACTGTCCCTTAACAGCCTGTAGATCTTACACTCATGTGATCAATTCCCAGACTTTACTTCTATCTCTGGGTAAGTACAGGAAAGTGTGGCTGGGGTCATTTCTTTCTCTAACAATCCATTTATCAATAATGATACAAAAGGTAATGATGGGGAGTAGGGCACGCCCCCTTTTTCAAGACCTAGATCTGTCAATTAATTTTGCAAAAGTGAGCAAATTGTTTAAGCTTTCAGGATCCCAGTTCCCATTAGAATAATCTTAGTATATACTACATAGGGTCATTACAGGGATTTAATCTGCTTAAAGTACTTGGCAACTTCAGGCAACACATAGGGACAGAGAGCTATCCTGAGTTTTCTCAGACTGTCCCAGTTTTGCCAACGCAAGTCCTATGTCTTAGGGACCCCCTTCAATCCTGGTAAACCTGGGCGGTTGGCCACATTACACAGTGATATTCTAAAAAGTCCATGTAGGAAGAAAAAAATATTATAATGTATTAAACTCTGAAGCCTAAAACCTCAACCTCTTCCCTCAGATAAAAAATATATTACAATTACAAAAAGTGAGACTTCTAGGGTGATGAGAATATTTGGATAATCAGTGTACTGGTGGTTTTCCAGTATGATCATCAGAGCTGAATACACTTAAATATGCTGCATAGTGTATATCAACTATACTTTAAATGCTTGAAATTATTATTTAATTATACTTTAAATAATTTTTTTTTTTTAAGTAAAGACAAGTAACAGAAAAACTGTGTACGCCAAGTGTCTTAACAAAGGGAAAAGAATTCTGTGACCTTGGTCATGATCCATTCTTACACGGGAGATGGTTTTTGTTGAATGTGTTTCCTAATGAACCTAGGCATATTCATAAATTTGAAACATGAGTTTTCTCAACCAAGCATATGAAGAACAGGCACTGGATTCAGCATGTCTGGATTTCGATGCCAGCTCTATTATTTATTGATTCTGAAACCCCAGGAAAGGGTCTGGCTCTCTCTAAGTTTTACTTTCCTATACCACTGTACCACAATAATAATACAACCTGTCTTTTAAGATGGTGAGGATAATAAAATGTATGTAGAACATTCAGTGCGGCCCGTGTGTGACACAGGAAAGCACTGATTATTAGCTAGTGTTAGTGTTAGAGTTTAGAGGGACAAATGTGTATTCAGGTAATTACCTTTAGGTGTGATTAAAGAGTGGTATTTCTATCCAGGTTTGTATGGGTTCCTGCAATAACAGTTCCAGAGGGAGAGAGAAGCAATGAACAATGACTTACACATGACAATTAATGCGCCCAAAATAAGTCCAAGGGCCACGCCAGCGGAGACTCCTGCTACAATGTAGACACCTATGCTGGCGGCTGTTCCAGAGTCTTGGACCTCATTAGCCAGGGGGAATGTTTGCTATGGAAAGACAAAGACAATTGAGGCTGTGAATGTCCAGGAAAATCAGTCACATACTCAGCCCGTCTTATGGTTGTGGATTGGACCATGCCTGGTACAGCAGCACAGCACTGCATGGGCCTGAAACCTTTAATCTGTCCCCTTCTAGAAAAGGCTCAAACCACCATAGAAATGGATTAGCGCAATTTTGGATTTAGCACAGAAATAAAATCTTTCCTTCTGTGTTGTGGGTATAGAAGGAGTTCTTTATAAAGGGGCTCATTCAAATGGATGTAAGAGTGAAGTTCTGTTCATTTAATGTCCTATATTCCTCAGGGCGTTTCAGAGTGGTCTACATTGGAGGTCTTGCAGTGAAGCACTACTTTATTCTTTCCTACCATCTATGTAATTTTGCTATTTAAATTATTTGTCATGGGGCTCTCATATTAGAGCAACTGTGTGATATTTAACCTTCTCTGACTTATTTCATTTAGTATCATGGTCACAAGTAACTCAGATTTTTTTCTACTTCATAGCTGACTCCATTATGTATGTATATATTTTCTTTATCCATTCATCTGCTGATGGGCAGGTAGGCCTACGTGGCTGCAAAGTCCTGACTCTCAACCACTGTCTTTCTATGAAAAGCGATTTAAGAGCCAAAACTCTGCAGCCAGACAGCCCTGGTTTCAAATCTCTCTTCAATACCAAAAGCTCAGGGATGTAGTAGAGTTACTGGGAAATGATGTAACAAAAAATATAAAATTATTAACAATTGGTGAGATGCATAGTGTATACTCACTCAATGGTGGTAATTACTGCTATCTCTGGGCATGGGATTTAGCTCAGTGGTTCCACCACCTGCCCAGCAAGCGCAAGGTCCCAAGTTCGATCCCCAGTACCAAAACAAACAAATAGAATTTTGCTATTTCTCTAATTATTATGATTATTAAAATGAGATGTACATGAAAAAGATTTTTAGAATTTCAGTCCCTTAAAAAACAATAACAGTAAACACTTTTAAAACAAAGAAGTCAAGCCAGGCGTGGTGGTGCACTCCTGTAATCCCAGAACTCGGGAGGCTGACACAGGAGGATTGCTGTGAGTTCGAGACCAGCCTGAGCTACACGGTGAGTTCCAGGTCAGTCTCAACTACATAGTGAGACCCTGTCTCAGAAAACAAACAAACAAACAAACAAATAAATAAATAAATAAAACAAAGAAGTCAAGGAAGTTAAATCTTTCATGTACTGATTTACGTTTACATTCTTGCCGAACACACACTGCTCCTGCAGGGGCACGAGTCCTGCATGCACACTGAGACGTTGTGCCTAAGGCACAGCAGGCACATGGAGGTACTAACCAGGCAGACCCCAGTCACAGAGAGCAGAGGGCACACGTAAGGAGCTTAGCACCAGAGGTGAATACACAAGTAGGAGACTGAGTCGAATGAGTACAGACTCCTAGATACGACCTCAAGGAATTTTAGAGTCATAGCTGCAACTCGGTTGTTTTGCTTTTGCTCTCAGAAAATGAGGGAAGCTAAATTTGTGGTAAAATAAGTATTACTTCATAGGTAGACATATAAAATCTTGGCTGTGAATATCCCGCACTGATGTCTTGTCATATGTAACTAAATAAACTTAAACATACAAATAACTTCTCTCCCTAGGATTGCAATAGAAACAGGGGGGACCCCTATCCTAGGAAGACAAAAGAGTCTTTGTATGGTGCACAGCTGTACGTAGCTGTGACACTGAGAAGAGGAACAAGATGCAGATTCTTCTTTTTGGTTTCCAGCATGCGCCAGGCCCTCTACACTCCCACCCTCATTCCACTCCTCCAGTAGCCTGCGGGGAAGACCTGTCACCATCATCTTACAGCAGGACGGCAAAGGAGGTTAAGGCTTTTCCCCAAGGAAAGGTGGGCATGGAGGAAATCAAGCTTTCTTAACTCGAAGTTCAGCATAATATTAAAGCACAAAACATATTTACTTACTGTTTCATTTTTATCGTGGCGCATCCTCAGGGTCTGTGTTTCTGCCACAGACACATATATGCACACACAAACAGACACAAATGGAGGGAAAAATAGACAATGGTTCAGATTTTTTTTTTTTAATCTGAGTTTAAAAAAAATAAGGTTTGGGTAATTCTATGTCAAACTAATTCTCCATACTTTTCACAATAACTGGAAGATGAACAAAATTCACTGAATGCTTATGAATCAACTTCAAAATGTCTACATTTTTCACCTAATGAGTCCTTACTACCTATATTTTATGAAACAAAGACTTCTGTCAGCAAGATTTACATTAAAAACATTTGTTTTGTCCTCAAGATTCCAAAGGGTTCTACAATAATCCACTAACATGGTTAACAGAGCCTTTATATTCTAACCAGACTGATCAAAAACAAAAATTAATTGTCTTGAAAAAGTTTACTATTTACTCAGTAGGGAAGAAGACAGAGCATTTGGTTGACTTCAAACAAAAATAATAGCTACACTGCACCAGTCATTCTGCCAAACTCTTAATGAAGGAATTACCTCATTTATCATGCAAAATTGCTGTTCTAAACTAGGATGAATGTTCCCCTAGACAGCTGAAGAAATTAAGAATTCAGCAAGTGACTCACCCAAGATCACACAGGTCAGTGAGTAATAGAAATGGCCTCCAACTCAAGTCCACATGGCTCTGGCACACATTCTCACCAACTCAAACTGAACAACTTTCCCCTTGGCCTTGCCACCACTGTGAGGAGGGGCACGGTGCTTTCCCTGTGTTTATTGGTTGATTTCTTAACCTGCTTATTTAGTCGACAAGTATGGACTGCTCTTCACCAGCTACACAGGGCAGAGCAGCGAGTGAGATGCACTCAGGCCCTGAGCTGATGAACACTGCATTCTAAGCACAACTACTATGGATTGGTACCTCCAGGAAGACCAAGCAGGCTGACTACTTTTATGGCTGAGTTATACACTTTGAAAATCCTTAAATGTCATGGTCACCTTGTGGGAACCTTAAAATCTAAATGCTGTATGGTGTATAAAAGGTTTACTGGATAACAGTTTAATAGACTAGGGTATAAATATTATAAAGTCACAGACTCAGCCTAGAATCATTTAAGAAAAAAAGGGAAAGAAACTGTGTTTCACTTAGCAGTTATTATGTAAAAAGGGAATTAAATATAAAAGCGACAGTGGTTGAAATACTAAGTAAACATGAATCTTAACCACACCCAAGGTATCTAAATGAAAATTCATTTTCTGCTTCCCTATAATTATTATTATTATTCTTGCTCTAAATGGTGAGACTGACTTTTTTCCTTTTTTTTTTTTTTAACACTGAGGTTTGGACTCAGGACTTTTGAACTGAGATATATGCCCAGCCTTTTTTATTCATTCATTCATTTCTGACATGGGCTTGCTAAGTTCCTCAGGCTGGGCTCAAGTTTGGAATCCTGCTGTTTCAGTCTTCCAGAGTGCTGGGATCACAAGTGTGTTTCACAAAACCCAACTCTTTCATTTTCTTCTGCTATGAAAATGATCAGTAAAATGAAAACTACTGCATTATCATAGCTTTCCTCACACAGATTTTGCCATCAGCCAAGATGGGGAGAAGAGCCAGATGAAGCTGCAGTGTTCTTCCTGGAAAACCCAACGTGGCTGGGGTGGAGGTAGCAGTGGGGTGGGATGAGATAGTCTTAAAAGTATGTAAGTGCATTATGTATCCATTTATGATGCAACAGACATCAAGCTTAATGCTATTACCCACAGTGTAATGCTCGTGACAGTAGGTAGGTACCATTATTTCTCTCATTCTTCAGGTGAAGAAGTGAAGTGTTAGGGAGGTGCTTTCCCCATGATCAGAAAGCTACTAACTGAGAAAGCTGGATTCGATCTCGATCCCACCTCCCTCAGGAAGAAGAGATACTGCATTTGTTCTATGTGCACTGTGGGTTGAGGAATTTCCATAGCCCTTGGAATTCACTCTTTAAAGCTCTACCCCATTTTATACCACACATATCCAATGCAACCGCATTCACATTACACAGAAGGTACATACAGCTGTATAAGTGTTGACTCAACAACGATGGACACGTATATCATAGACAAGCCATCTGTTATACATTAGTTTCACTTTCTAATTTTACTTTTCTGTTTTGTTTGTTTGTTTGTTTATTTAGCTCTTTTCCCAGGCAGGCTCTTGAAATGTTCAGAGATCTATCAATGTTCTCTGACTGGTCGTGACCTCCCACCCCCTGTCTGTCTGCACGTGTGGCCTACTCTGAATGCTGACTCAGAGGCGCTGCTGTGAAGGGCCCTGAAGCACAGGACGGAGAAGTGGGATGAAGTGGGACTCCAGTCCCACCTACATCTGTGCTGGTGAGTTGTGTAACATGAAGCAATGGCACACTGTAACAGCTGGTATGACTTGAGTAACCTGCAAGGGGGCGATCATCTGCTCTCGACATACCGAATTTCCTCACCAATCACATGAAAAATGTTAGCTACCGATTGCTACAGGACCGAAACCTTAGAGGTGAAGTTGGTAATGGTAATGTTAGCAACTAACATTGGAGAGACCTACTGGACAAAGTGCCATGCTGAGCACATCCCATACATAGCTATGTTAAATTTTTACAACTGTATGAAATGGGCGCTGGCATTGCTCTCATCGTACAGATGAAAAGCCTGAGATTCGAGAAGCTGGAGCAACTTTACCGAGTTCTCAAAGCTAGAAACAACTGATTTTCAAACCTATTCTGCCTGTCACTGAAGTACTTGATCGTAATCTAATTCTGCCTTCTGATCTTACTGACAAAATTAATGACAACAGCAACCTACAGTGAGTACGTACCATGATCAGACCCTGGCCTAACCATTTGGGTATAATGTCTTATTTAAATCTGATAAGGTTTGATTTATGAGACTGATGACATTGTGTGGTGGGACTTACCTGTTTTTATTTCATTTTAGAGAAAGAAGCACTCTATAGAATTTCAGAGAGATACTAGGATTCTGACCAGAAAATATGGAAGGTTAACTTCCTGAATTGATGGGACATGCTGGGAAAGTCCTTAATGCATTACACAAAGAATTTAGCTAATCGTTCTGAGGCTGGAATCTGAAAAGGCTGGCGGGCTATATTTCAGCTAAAAGAAACTTACAATTACAGAACCCAACCCATTAGTCCCTGAACATGGACTTGGGCAAATTCTCGAGGAAGCATCATCAGTACAAGAGCTACTCAGAATAATGAGCACAAAGTGATTACTTTCCCATCAGACCAAACTTCCTTAGTATTCAAGTAAAGTACAAGAATAATTTTTGTTTGTTTGTTTTTTTGAGATAGGGTCTCAATATGTAGTTGAGACTGATCTGGACCTCACTATGCAGCCCAGGCTGGTCTCCAACTCACATCGATCCTCCTGCCTCAGCCTCCCCAGTGCTGGGATTACAGGTGTGCGCCACCACACCCAGCTAAGAATAATTTCTTATTAAACTCTTAAAGTTTAAAATGTGGGAGTAAGAAAGACTAAAATAGCAGGGCATGGTGGCACATGCCTATAATCCCAGCACTCGGAAGGCTGAGGCAGGAGGATCGCTGAGTTTGAAAGCAGCCTGGGCTACATTCTGAGTTCCAGGTCAGTCTCAACTACATAGTGAGACCCTGTCTCAAAAAAACAAAAAAACAAACAACAAAAAAAGAAAGTCTAAAATACTGTGTTAACATACAATGATAACAATAACCAACATTTTTCATGTTTTATTTGGCAAAGTGCATAGCTCACCAAAATTCTTTCTGGGGAAGGGGATGGGGAATGCTACAGGGTTATGAGATTCAAAGCCTCTAAACCTACTCCTTAGACAGAAAAGGAAGTGCAGATGGGAGAAGTGAAAGACCTTGGGCCAGGGCTCCTGGCTAGCTTGTGGCTAACCCCGACTCCTAACCCAGGTAGGTGCCTTTTCTCCAGCACAGTGACTCACCCTCCTCGTCCTGAACACCACGTCAGGTACACAGCGGCTACTCACTTCTCCACTCTTTCAGTGTTCTATCCACCTTTTTCATTCTACACCCTCTGAATTCAGGCACCAACCAGAGGCTCCCACCTATGCCCCGTGAGCTACCTGAGCCATGTCCATTGGTGGTGAGCATCCTTGGAAGGGTTGAAGTCCAGTCTCTCCGCGCTGTTGGAGCAGGAGTGGCCTTGGCTAATGTCAGAAACCAACATTAAAGATGAGGCGTCTTTAGAACAAGGGAATCAAGGGGCATCAGGAAAAATGTGAAACACAATAAATGAAGAGAAACACATCCTCAGCTCCAAACCTATCTCCCTGACACCCTCACTGAGGATCTAGCAAACTGCAAATACAGGCACCATTGTGACAACCTAATTAGTAATGGAACTAACAGCCACTCATGTGGCCACACTAAAACTTTCACATAAAATATTGTCTCACAGATGCCTTCCACTGTCTTATGATAGGAATCATCCTATTTTATGGAGGAGGACATCACAGAGTTTAGATAACTTGCCCTGGATCACACAATCGGTAAGAGGCAGAGTTGGCTTTGAATGTGGTCCTGTCTGGCAACAAGGAACATTCCCTGTGATTCTTTTTTTTTTTTTTTGGTTTTTTGAGACAGGGTCTCACTATGTAGTTGAGACTGTTGAGACTGCCCTGGAACTCACTGTAGCCCCGG